GGGAGCTGGAGGGGGCATATGTTCAATAGTGGAGAAGCAAATTCCGATAAAGAAAAAGAAAAAGTATTTCGTGATCGCTCATTGAAGAGTAGTTTACATAAAATAAGATATTATTATAACTTCTAATGAATATTTAATAGAATCAGGCGTCATCTTGCGTGATTCTATTGCTATGACTGTGAACCTACGATATCTAACCAAGCACCAAGTCTCAACACCAGGTGGTTGGCACAATAAGGTAAAACATGTCCTGAGAATGATCCGTGGTAGAACAACTGATAGAGTGGCGATTGTTGCTAGATTTGTTGTCATTTGTTTGTATCTTACAGATACTGACTGATTGTGGCAGTTTCTAGATATCACAGTTAGGAATAGCTTAAAAATACACTGATCTGACATTCATAGAAATTAATGAAACGTGATTTGCATATCCTTTAATAAATATCAGCTGAATGTACTTGATCGGATTTCTTTACCATTATACCGACTCAATTAATTTAGCACCAATGAACCTATCAATTATATAAAATAATTAGCTACTAGTAACAAAATACTTTACATAGCTGTTGGCTGTGATGTGAAGCAAAGAGTTCATCCCACCATAGAGCTTTTATGTTCTATCTTTATCTGCACGCCAGTATAACTGAAGCCTTAGTTAATCTATCAAAACGAAGCCTTAAATTAAATGTCTTGGATTGGACGGACCAATCCTGACTGCGTCTGCTGATACTGGATCTGATCCTTTACAGGATGATTGGACAGAATTGCACAAAGCTCAGTCATTACCGAAGTACAACTGAGGTCCCTTGACTTTCATAATTCAGTTGAGCTTTATAGTGTTTTTATATATTTACAATGATTTCTGTTTCGATTATACATACTTGATATGTATAAATCATCCCTTTGTTAATAATTAAATGTATAATAATCAATAGTTTGATCATAATATTATATCATACATCAAATAATCTTATGGTAATGTCTTCTTGGATTTAACGAAAGGCGAGTTGGCAAACACAAATAAAATTATTTTCTCTGAACATCTCCTGGTTAAGATCATATGTTACATGGAATTTAAAAATAGAAGGTCAACGAACCAAAATTGGTATTAAGGAAGTTCTAAAAAAACAAATCACCCAAATAAATAGTACATTATTAGCTAGCACCCGACACGGCGCAAAAAATGGTTATCATACAAATTTCGCTCTCATCCTTACTACTTCAACTTTAATGACCAAATTCGATTGGGTGTACCAACAAAGCTTGCTATTAAAAGCTTTTCGAATAATGTTACATGTTTCGCTTCTATATAATAGCAACTGACAAAAAACCTTCGATAATTCTTTATGTGTCGATTTGTGATTCATATGTAATTAGATTTCGAATAGCTACACTAATCAATTCTGAATGATACTGAAGGTGCGCCATCTTTGGAATTGCTTCAAAACTTATTGGATGACTACGAATAATTTTAAATACGAATGTTTTTTCAATAGTACAAAATGTAGCGTGTCGTATCTATTTTTGCATTGTGAGAATAATTAAAGAAAAAAGGCTGTCGCTTGACGCGTTCTAACTCAAGAGGTCTTTCTTGAACTGTCAAAAGATCGTTTTCTCACGAAAACAATTATTTTGCGGAGTATTTGATATAACCAAAACGAACGGAGCCCATCAAGCGAGGTTTTTGATGTCCTTTGTCATTCCCACAAGAGATTTCCACTTGGCTTCAGGATCTCGATTATGGTGAAACAGAGAAATTCTTGGAATCTTGCTCTTTTATTTCTTCATTTTGTATATAAACGTTATCTCGCCGTGTTAATATCACCACTACAATCGATCGTAAGAATAAAAAAATATCTATAAATTGCTTTACACAATGATGAGATGGCGCTGTATTACCTACATCACGCTTAGGAAGTTCTGATCATAACTTCCAGTTTTCACTGGTTGGACCAGGGGTCTGGGCTAATAAAACTCAGTTTGAATAATAATATAGTATCATATTTATTCAATTTTACATTCAAGGTGCTATAGGGAAAAATATTCTTTATAAAAAATCCACTTTGTCCCTGGCAGTCTGAGACGGGACTCGAACCCATGAACTTTCACAGAGCGGTCGCCCGGATTGCGAAAGGTCATGGGTTCGAGTCCCATCTCGGAATTCTAGGGACAAAGTGGATTTTTAAGCATATTTCGTTAATAATATGTTATCAATTTTGAACGTGTTTTCATCTTTTTAATTTCGAATAGCCAATCCTCGAAATAACCAATTCTCAAAATGTCTAATCCTCCATCACTAAATTTCTAAGCGATGTTGGTATATTTATTTTTTTTATTTTATATTTTTTTGCTCGATATATATCTCTGAGGGTGTATTAACATAGAAGTTTAAAGTAAATTACGGCTCAATAAATTTTGATCCAAACACACACCGAACTTGAGAAATTATAATAACATATCACTTGTAAAAATACCGTCATAAAATATGAAATACCATGGAACAGAATAACGCATACTCTGCAAGGGATTTATCTTGAAGATATAGATAGATAGGACCAGAGTATTATAGTTATTAATTCTAACTATATAAGTTAACATCCCAAGTGACGTAAAGATAAGGCGAAACTGTCGTTCTGGTCGTATAGTGTTACGTTACTTATGTCTTGGACGGATTTGATGATGTCACTCTTCCCTACTATACCCGCCGCTCATGCAGGAGACAAAGGACGCAGACTTCTATAGAACTAATATTATAAAAATAAGGACATTACGTATATATTTTCAGTATTGTACATTATGTGGATTAATAAGTAATAAATAATATTGCCTTCACACTTGAACTCCTGACACCGATAATTTAATCTAACCTAGGATTGCAATCGTAGGATATTAGAACTAAATACCTGTAGAAGAGCTGGATCTAATCTCTTAACTTGAATAGAGTTCTGAGTAGTGTCTTGGACCTTCAATAACTAAAAAGTAAAAGTGTATATTTGATGGAGCAAGCATTAAATCACTCAATGTTTTCTTCAATAATTAAAAAATAAAAGTATATATTTCATGGAACAAGCATTTACTTACTCAATGTTTTCTCATTAAAATAACTCATCAGTTGCTGGCAGTATACTGTTTGATCTTCATTAAACGAATAATCAGCTAAAGCTAAGTGCAAGCTTTAATCGCCTTGGATTAAATCCATCGATACTTAGGCACCACTAATTGGGGGTAGATCGATACGCGTGACGCGGCAATCAAGCAGTATTCATCTTTAAGAATATTATATTTATGTACCATCTATTGGAACACCGAAGGTTTATAATATTATTGACACCTTAGGTAATATTTATAACATGTTGTTGGCCTTTAAAAACATTTTTAGACCTTACCTTTGCGAGATTTGAAAACTTGTGACACAATTTTCTCGAAGACTACTAAAAGCTATAGATTTTCAACTTTACTCTAGTTCGCTGAAATCCTATGCTTTGCTCTGTCACTATCAAGAACATTATCAAGCTATCTAAGATCTAGACATTTTGTAGTAATTATTTACGGGTATAACCCAAATCACTCATTAAAATTAATTGTGAACAACAACAAAGTACAAATAAATTAAGTATAAAGAGTACAATATATAACTTAATCATTATAGTTATTTAATAATTTATCATAAATAATCAATAACGAACAAAAAGATTTGCCTTGCCATAAAATTTTTCAATGGAGTAATAAATAATATAGTATATATAAGTAGTAGAATATCTTGAATTGGATTACCAGAGCGTATAGAAATAAAAGACTTTATTTAGTAACTACCATTATTATTATTATTTTCAAAAGTAAAATATAATATGAATTAGAAAAAGTAGCAGTCTTCAAATTAACTGCTATCATTCCGCAAGCGCCTTCTCGTCATGATCTAGTTTTAAGTCCATAAAAAAGAAAATTCCATAAAAATTGTCATCCCATAATTTACCCCCTTAGGGGTTGAATTTCATTAAACCCCTTCTTAATGAGCACCTACGTCCTAAAAAGAACCCTCATGCAAAATTTAAAACTTATAGTAACGAAGTATCATACAAACTTTCATCTCCACAATTTACCCCAGTAGGGGTTCAAAAATCAGAAACTCTATAATTCCTCATCTAATATGCTGAAAATCAATCCAAGGATTAATAACCCCGGCTGTAGACTTTAAAAAGAGTAGCTACATCCATATCAACATAATGTAAAACCCTGTCTCATTTATCTATCTGTTTGAATGCAAAAAACCAAAAACTACCGGTTTATATTACCGGAGGAAAATTTGTTTGATTGTTTGTTTCGCATTGCTGCGAAACTACTGAACCGAATTTTTAAATTCTTTCATCTAAGGGAAGCTGCATTATACGCTATATTTTACGCAAGCGAAGTTAAGAGATAATAGCTAGTTATTCACAAAGGATCTAGCTATTATATCAAGGTTTCATCTAAAATAGTTTAAGTAACAATTCATAATGAAGACTCATTTAAGACTACTAGATGTAAAATTACTAGTAAGACTACTACATGTAAAATGTGTATTTAAAAACAAACGCGACAGACATTATTATTTTGCAACACAGCCGTGATACACTGTACATTGTTGGCAGCCAACATTCTGATCCAATGTTTTCTATTAACGTCTCTGTAAGTGATATAACCTTGACCAGATGCGTTAAGCGAAGCTAGTGAACTTGTTGAACAGCTTTATGAGATGAAATGTCTACCTTAACAAGTGTTGTCTCTACTTTTAATATGCCGCAAATTTTATAGATGCACTTTTTTATAATTTACTACTTGGTCTATAAGGAAACGATAATTCGATTGTTTTTCATTGTAATTTAATTTATTTGATCGTAATAAATTAAATAGTATAAACCTGTTTACATATTGCTTGTTCTCATTAGATAACGAACCTTTATAAGGTGATATCATTCACGATGTTATATTGTTATTTTATTAGATTTTTTTATTGTTTGCAGGTAATTCTTCTCCTGAAACATCATTTGATAAAGAGCGGTAAAAGTTACTATTTATTATTTACATAAAATCATACTTAGTCCCGCGAATAATAGCCTTTTTTTCGTTGAACAGTATAATCTCAGAAATAGAGAATCAAAGAGCCTTACCTATTCGATTAGCGTCGATTTTTGAAATCCCTTATGAGAAAGTGCAGTGTTATCTCGATCGAATAACTCAATTAGGAAACCTGGCTATAAGTGAAATGTTATTCTAAAGAAAAGATTTACATCCGTTTCTTAGATATTTTTGTAAGACTAGTGAATTATTTGTGTCAATACATACAAATAAAAATAAAAAATAAGATACATACTCCTTGAATACAGGAACACGGATACAATAGAGGAGCATAAACGAAGACTCATCAAACAAAACACTGTCGTAATCTACATCGTTTACGATCTCCACTGCAGTTAAAACGGGCTTGTTTACATGATCAGCGATGTTATTGGCAGAACCGTATTGAGCTTCTTATGAAAACAAAAGTGGTTTGTTTAAACAATGCATACAGTTGAAGTAGATATAAAAAAGCTTCATTATATTTATCTACACCTTTGAAACACCTTTCCTTGTACTTTTAGAAATTATTTAGTATTCATTCAAGATCAAAATCCAAATATTTTTGTATTCCAATAAACTAATTGAAAGCAGTTTTGAATCGTTCACTGTTTTACAATATAAGGACTGAAAAGTAATGAGACTTTCTATCCAAAAAGTTTACAATGCTTCAGATGTCGTCGTCTTGCACAAATCGTAAAAGTCAACAAAGGAATGGATTTTGGTCAAAAGGTTTGCTAGCTGTATTCTTGAAGACAATTACTTAAATTGGGTATACGGTTTCGTTGTTGGTGTGTGCTGAATTTTAACTAAAATCCAATCTATGCTCAATACCTAAAAGAAAACAAGATTACAAAACATTGATTTAAGTGATTTTAATGATTTTTATATAGATGCAACATGAAACATTGATTTAGAAGCAAAGCGTTACATATAGCATCTATTTGTCTAAAGTAATTACATCGGTACCAGAATACTGTAGATACCTACAGTAGCTTGATTACTATCTCAAAATACTGTTCATATGTTGACGTCATAATATTATGTTCACTCGTTATGTAATTCCAAAAGATCAAACAAGATGTGCTTTTTAGGATAGTGCTTTTTATTATGTCTATATTCTTGATATCATATCTTATATAGAAGTTAAAGTACTCTTTTATCATTGCTCAATATATTTCACGTCGATGTTTCTGAACAGCAGCCAAAATTTACCAATTTGTGTGCGCCTGTCAAACTTTACCTTTATATTATGTCTGATGGTTTATAACCCACTGCCAGATGGTCCAGATATACGTTCTCGATATATCTCAAACTCAAAACCTTGCCAAAATAAAGAAAGAGTGGTCCAAAAGTTTTCGTCGGTAATTTTAATAAAAAAAAAACTCATTATAGTTGTCCTTTTATTGTCCTTGTCCTTTTTATATTTATGTTTAAATATCTTTTAACTGCATTTTAGTTGATTGTAGTGTGATGTTCTGCTATCTTTGAATGTAATTATATGAAAACTTTTCAGGTTCAATTTCAATATTGATTCTTGGTATATTCCGTAGTGGTTCAACCAAACATCGAAAGCATAAGCTTTTCATATATGATCTTATTTTATTATTACAGTAATGTAGATTTAATACAACCCGCTAGCTTCTAACAGATTTCATCTACGTAGATCTTTATATATTGGTACTTACGTTACATAATGATATAATTTTTTAGTATATAGATAGTTCGATATCATAATATTTGAATAATAACGACTTATACTTACTCCTTTAGTTGACCATAATTACGTGCCTGCGATAAAGCAATCTATAACAGATGTAACTATAAAAGATGACAGTTGTACTTGTATGAGTATATCTACAAATAACCACTTGGAAACTATGAATGGATTGCTATAAAGATAGGGCCTGAACGTTTTGATGATGTATGACCAGCAACAATGGGAGGACATTCTGTACTAACCCCGAATAAGATTTGAAATATAGTCTCGTTATAAAGCAATTTGGGAATTTAAACCTAGAGAACTGTTAAAAGAAATATAGACGTTACTAATATGTTGGATCAATCTCAATATCGTTAGCTTATTATTATGTGCGTACTATTATTAGAAATAATTTTAAAGAAAAACTTCTAATCCTCTTACATTCATATCGTTACCCTTAAGAGTTAAATTTTGGGGTTATACTACGAAAACCAATTGTCTATATGTATATTGTCTATCGAGAGAGAATTGAATCCGAATAGAACACAAATGTTGGAATTTCGGTGTGGAAAAGTTCCCTTTGTTACGGGGGGCACCGCAAATTCGTTAAATATGCCCGATACAAATTCCATTTTCTCTCGATAATTTTGTTGCTACAATGCCTTAGCAACAAAATTATCGAGTGAATACAAAGTAAGTGTAGTTCCGTCCACGAAATTACCATTAAAAAAGCAAAACTGCTTCATCATTATAGTGCTCGAATCAATATAATTTGAACTGCGTAATCAATCCAACCATCTCACGATACTACTAGATTTAGCAAATTATACGTACAGTAAATCTTATATACTTACGTCAATGATGTAATACCGATTGCCTTTTTCTAGCAAAATTACATCAGCTGCTGCAGCTATGGTTTGTAAACAAGCAGTATACGAGGCTATTGTATAATAAAAATAAAGACATGTCCATGAATTCAACTTGCACAAATTATACTGTTTGTTAAAATTACGTCCATGGCTTATGTTCCAAGGTAAAACTGAAACTTAAAAACAATTACGGTAATAACAGTCTAGCGATAGTACACGAAATTGATAATATTTATGTTTCAGATAATATTATACTGTTAAAAATGTAGATTGTTGATATTTAAATAAGTCTATAGGAAAATCATATTGCCAAATTCCGTTAGTTGTTTCCATCTATTTTGATAATAGTTATCATCGATCAGTCGTGAAGGCTAGCATGGATTTATAATTAGATCTTGTAATGGAAAATGTGTGACATTGACCAAATCACCATTTCATTGGTGTTGTGCATCGAATCTTATTATAACATTTGCCGAACCTTGGCTTTTTGTATAACCTTGTGTCATTATACATCTGAAGCTTAGCGAAGCCCTTCTAAACTCGTGATTATATGTTATGTCGAGTCGTAGTAATCATCTACACAATACGGTATCCAACCGGATCCACCTAATAGAAGTAACATTGACCATTACACAACAACGAATAGTAACAACCGTCAGGATTTCTGTAGACGTATTTCATTATTAACATCACTCTGTGATGTCGCTTCGATATTATTCTGCAACTGTTATAATTCTAATACAACTGAGGAGGTAGATAATTTAATGCTAGAATCTTTTAGTATTTTATCGTTTGATCATCTCCGTAGTTTGACAAGTTCTCTGAATAAATTTTCAATGTCTCCAAGCACCAGTTTAATCAAATTGCTATCTTTGGTATTTGATTCCTTACTCAAATATAAATAATTTCTTTCGATTGTCACATCTATAACACAAGTTTTTAATTGACTGCATGATGTAGTCTAGTTTTCTGTCCGTTGATATCGTTCCCATATCTATGAGTGTGTGACTGGGATGGCTATTTCTTTGTGCGAGTGATATTTTTGAATATGTATAAATAATTGTATTTCGCATTTTTATTTAATATTCATAATATATTCATGTTCATTGATAAACTAATGATCTAAAAATAACTAAAGCAAAATCCGTTCTAATGTAGATTTTCTTTAGTTTAAAGGTAAAAACTATTTCTGGAAGTTTGCAAGACTTAGCGTTGATAAGCTTATAAGATTACCAGCTTTTGAATAAAGAACTTCATGTTAAGGTTCGTTTTTATTCTATTTTTGTATTTATTTCTGTTTTTGCTTTTCGTTATATTTATTTGCATTATGAACTAATTGGAGGATTTTAATTACCCGTTTATAGTATTTAAGCCTGCAAATTATGGTTTACGTCTTGTTTTAGAATCAAACAGCTCATAGTTTATAATTCTTTTACCTGAATCTAAGGTCCAAGGTGAATCCAAGCTTCATCTAATGGATCATGGTAATATTAATAATGGTTAATACATAATGTGATTCTCGAGTTTAAAATTAGCAAAGTTAAAGATAGATCTATGAATTCAAATGACTTTATCTCTAAAGTTTTATGGATTTTCAGGCCTTCAACGTCGTGTTTCATCTTAGCGCGAGGTTATAATATCAAACTATATTTGGCAAAGTCTAAGTAACCTTAATTAAAAATAAACTTTTTTAAAGTACCTATCAATCATGAATCATTTTTTTTACTCACCACTCGTTCAGGACGTGTTTTGGCTGATAATAAGAACAAGCAAGAAACTCGCGAGCTCTAATGGGTCGCTTGTCATTTTTACCATTTAATGAATATAAATTAATTATGTGTAATAAATATTAGAACGACTTTATTGTGGAAACGCACAACAAGACGTCTGTATGTATTATTAACTTTTTGATGTCTTCATAATGTGGTCATGATTTTATGTTTAAATGCAATTTTTATTGTCAATTATCACCTCAAATATGTTACCGACCTGTCATCTGCACAAAAGTAAACATATAAATCCACTCTTCAAATATTCATTCAAATGACAAAGCATCTTCACTAAATGGCGTAATTACGGATGTTGTTGCCAAGTTGCAAATTCGTAATGACTGATAAACGACCGTGCACCACGATCTTGCACCATGATCGGCTGATTGTGATTACAATGTCATTGTGGACACTATTTGGCTATGTAATTACCTAATAAACGTAGAAACAATTATTTAACATAATATTGCTATGTTGAAATGAGATCGAATATACTGTGCTTTTTCACGAAAAGTATATCTTAAATATTTATCAAAACTAATAATATAAAATTGTAATTACTGTTTGTTTTAGTGTTACTATTGTTTATTTAGCTATGAATGA